CATTCTGCAAGTCTGTCACCTGGCCACCAGCTCTTAGTCCCTCTCTTCCCATGAATCTAGAGTCCTCAGCTGCTCCCTCTTCTCCATGTCCCCATCTCTGCCTCCATCTCTGGTGTCTCTGCTTCTCGGATAAGCATTCCACTTGTGCTCGTCTCCCTTGATGGTCCTAGGGTCCTTTGTTTCTGGACTGCAAGATTAACTACTACTTCATTTTTATTACAAAACTTCTACCTTTACAATTGTGACAGTCACAATTAGTCATGATAACTATTACTCACTATTGAATCATAGAATTTTATCCCTATCTCTTTTAACCAGACCCATCTTAGACAAGATGAAAACTATTCAGTGGGACTCTTTCTTCCCTTGCACACTCTTAAACTAAACTCCCTCCTGAAGCCTTGTAAACCAGTCATTTCGTGCCTTTAACGCCCCCTCATTTTAGGTAGCCAATAATTAAGTTTCCCATAGTCACTCACATTTTAATTGGAACAAATTTTACTCCTAACTGGAGCCCACAACTAAGCTACTGACAGATGCCAAGTACAATGTTTCAGCTTCACTCAGAAGCTGAATCACCCTCTTCCCAAAGCTGTCATTGTTATTATTTCTAATCATCTGGTAATCTTAATGTTTCATGAAACAAAAAAACACCTCCTATATTGCTAAAGTGAAGGGTCAGAGAAAAAGAGGAAGACCCCCAATGAGATGGATTGGCCAAGTGGCAGCATCGATGGACTCAAGCGTGGCAACAGTAGTGAGGATGGCCTAGGATTGGGCAGTGTTTCGTTCTGCTGTGCATAAGGTCGCTATGAGTCAGTGCCAACTCGATGGCACCTAACAACAACAATGCATGAAAATTATGGACATCCTAAATCAAACATTATCACTGGATTAAGAACAGTAATCATTTTGGAAAGGGACTTTTGGGAAGACTTTTTTGAGGATGAACTTGAAAACTTTGGAAGTTCAGAGAACAGCATAGAAAAGTGTTCAGAGAGGAGAACAAACAAGATGGCGGATCGGGTGGACGTGTAGCAGAGAGTTCCGCCAACAACAACACAGAATACCCAACCAAGCAGGCTCAGGGGATGGTCCCAGAACTCTGAACCACATATAAAGGAATACTTAAAAGGTTGGAAGGC